TATTATCCCTTCTTAGCGAAGCAGCCCTCAGTTACCTCTTTCCCCAGAGTCTATTCTCCCATTGAGACCAATGGCAATTTCCTTCTGATCATTTGGCTTTCCCTTCTGGAATTTATATCCATGGAAAGAAACACTTTCTTCACGAGAGCAAACAACCACAGGGCTCATTTACAGACAAATAATAATAATAATAATAAAAAAAGACTAGAGAACTGCTCCCAACCTGACTTTAGCAGTGCTGAGTATATTTATACATCCACGTGACTGCAAACATTCAAACAGAAACCAGCTCGTACCTTGAGAAAATTTAAGATGGGAAATTCTCTGAACCGTTCCTAAACTAACAATTTCCTGTCTCGCAGGTTCTCAAGTGAAATGCAGGTGGCAGGTGGGGAAAGCAAGGGAAAATGTATACATGAAGGCAGGGTTACCCTTTGGTTTTATGAGCCTCAAGCTCAGAGCTGAAACAACTTGCCTTTCTCATGCCCTCCTGATGCTCTCAGTGTTGCTGAGGCCTGAAGCGTGTTAAGACAAGGGTGAAAAACAGCCACCGTGTGTCTAACAGGTGTAGGGTGAAGCTTCTGAGCCACCATCGTAACTCCCAACAAGACACACATCATGTCACGGAGTGCCTTCTGCTATTTACACCTTCAGAAGGTTTGTTTGTACAAGACTGCAAGATTTAATATCTGCTATCACTTGTGGAAATTAACGGGCTTTAAAAGCAGTTGCACAAGCAGGTGTAGTAAAAAGCAAAGGCTCAGACAGCACAGCCAACCAAACAGCCTTTCAGATTGGTTACTGGAGATTTTATTGTGTTAGACATCCACAAAAATGTTAGCAAAAAGCAACACACACAGCAGTTGAGGCTTTTTAAGTAAGAATTTCTCAGATACTTTCTGGAAAAAAAATGTCAATAAAGCACTAAATGAAACCAAGTAAAAGCATGTAACGTCCTCTGCTTTAGAAGAAAAACAAAAGTATCAGGTAATAACGTATCTTGGCTAATATTGCTTTCTGTTCCAGGATCTACAAAAGTAAACAAGATACCCATTCATCATTTGCCTGGTACATGAACAGCTCCTTTCAAATGTTTACACACACAGAAAATTAACTTTATTCCAGAGCTGTTCAAAAGCGCTACTTACTTTATTATTTTTTTTACTTACACACTAGAAAACCAGCAGGCTGCATTAGCCTAGCATCTTATATTAAGTCAACATATATTTAAATACCTAGCAATAGAAAAGCAAAGCTTTTTTCTTCTTTTCTTCCTTCACAGCATTTGCCAAGTTCTATAAAGTTACAGGGGAGCTACAACTGGGAATCTGGAAACGAAGACAAGACAATATAAACACAATATTTATTATTAACTTCTCGAAAACTGCATTAAATTCCTGCATGGTTATGAACACAAGAAGATCCCACTTCCTTCATGCTGTCCCTAAGGAGTGGAGATACTTCCCGGTGATCATCTTCGGTCAAACAGGTGACTTTTGGGGAGGTGGAACACCACAGGCAGCCAAATCCAGTTCTTGCTGGGGAAGCAGGCTCTGGCAGTGGCCTATTTGCCCTCTGAAACCTCTAAACGAGTTCAGTTTTTCCATACTATTTATTTGCAGAAATTGCCAGTTATTTTAACAGCCGAGAGCTACAGAGCATGAATAACCTCGTAGAGCGGTGGTGGCAGCTGTTCTAAAAGTTGCTGCTTCCACAGGTAGGACGTGAGCAAGCCTACGAGAAACCTAAGTGTCTTCCAGCTAGGGTACAGAGCATCAGCCCTTCCGCAGAGAAGCTATGGATCCACCCAGCAAAACTGATCTCTGTATTTTACGAAACAGCTTACGATACCGTTACGGTTCTGTATATAAACTCATGCTTTTCCATGCTTAGATGGAATTGTTGGCATATTGTTTATTCTTTAAACATGTGGAACAATTTCTACTGCTCCAGGGAAATTTTTTGATTTCTGCTGACAAACTGCATGGTGATGGAAATCAGCACGTGCCTGAAAACTACACCTTCCTTGGGACTGTGAATTACCTCTTGAGTGCCAGATGAATTCAGGCATTATGCCTTTCAGATACAATGCGGATTTCTAAAATCCAGCAAACCAAGGGGATGAGAGGGCAAGAGATAAAAGTTGCTGCATGACTCAAGCAATGACATAGTACAATACTAAGCTCTATAAGCAAAGCATTTTGTAATTACTAACCTTTAAACACTTTTCTAAAGAAGCAATACCTTATGATAATGATGCATTTCCTAGATTAGGAAACTTTTAGTCCCATACAACGTTTACTGGGAACCTATTAAAGACCGAGTAAGGTATTTCTGCTATTGAAAAAAATCTTTCAGGTATTCTTTACCATTATGTTGATGAAGAGACTGCTCTTAAACATTTCCTGGTTTCAGTAATTATTTCTGCACATATATTGCTTTTTCTTACAGACAGCAAAAGATTTTTTTGGGGATGTGCATTTTTTTGGGGGGGGTGAAGGGGAAAAAGGGTTTATATCCACCTCCCCTACTTTCTTAACCACCATCCATTGTCAAAACATAACACGGATCATCACACACCACTCTCATCAGAGCTCAACTGAAGGTTGTACAGGGAACATGCAAATTGTAGATAATTTTCTTACAAACTTCTAGACAACGAAGCAACTCCTGCTAAAGTACAAACATGAAGTATGGCTGTTTGTTTTTTTTTTTTTAATTTATTTATTTATTCCTGATTTCAAGAATGTAAATTAGTAATTTGAGTCAAACAGTTTGGCCTGACTTTACTTTGGGATAAATGAAGTAAAAAGCAGCTAAGAAAAATAATACTGAAAAAAAACTTCTAATGAATATGGAAGGGTAAGTAAAGAGACTGTCTTCTCCCCTGACTAACCTATGTCAGGTCGTATCAGTTTATGCTGCTTTCCCTCATATGCCCAGTAGTCACATATTTCAGGCAGCTCGACTGAAATCTGGCAAGGTAGCAATAACACAAGTGTTGGATTTATATTTTATAAGACACAAAATGGCATCTTGAGGCTTCTTCTGGTTACCTTTCTTTCTCTCCTCGCTGTTTTTCACCACGCATATCTTGCCGCACGCATCTGAGATCGCTGCTGTCTTGTCACCGTCCTCCCAGGGAACTGCAAAAAGGAGTTGCCTTAGAGCTAGAGGTCCTCTGGGCTCTTACAAGCATAATGTTGACTCCACACCTGAATGACCTTTTTTTTTTTTTCTTTGAAAGCAATATCACTAGAGGTCACACACACATCCTGTGCTGCTTCATATTCCCACACAACATTACAAGGAGGTAGCTGTTACCCTCACTATCCTAGGAGCTGCAAAGAAATGTGAAAAGCAGGGATGAAAAGCCAACTTGAATCCGTACAATAACTTTAAGCACCGCAGTGTTTTCAGGGGCTGAAATCATGTATCTTGCTGTAGGTGAGTAGCAGCCATGTCTCAGGCTGTGGGAGAATGTGATATTTCAGCTGTATCTACTAGAGAATGAAATTTTGTTCCAATTTGCTACCCGACTTGGAAGTCATACCAAGTGTATCAGTAACAATCAGTGTTTGTTAAGCGGTTTTCTTAGAAATAAGCGTGTATCTGAAGTTGCCAGAGAATGCATCTGAGATGGGGTCGGCTACTAAGAGGAAGAAAGACACCCACGGATAAACACTGTGATACAGACGGTCTACATGGAGCAAATGCGTCTTTTCAATGCACTTTGTAAAGCCACTGAAGCATTGCACAGAACCTCTTTGCCCTTCTGGAGAGCAAGAGCCCTACAGACACAGAAAATGAAACCAGATTTATCCAGTGAAGAATATGGTTTTGAGAAAGCGAGTCAGTGATGGCTGCTTTGTCCAGGAAGAACCTCAAGACCATGTCAAAGGAGAACAGGAAGAGCAGTTCCTCCATTCTCCATCAGGCAGAACTGACGCTTTGTCTTGTCCCAGATGTCCTTGAGACAGGACAAAAAGAGATCAGGCCTCAGCACTTGCAGCAAGGAGCTTTGTGCATTGCAAGAAGGAGCAATCCTGACACTGGACAGCATTTGTGGTAGCAAACAAGCTCCTGGTCACGAGTTTCTATCAACAGTTACAATGAATTTCTGTGGCAAACATTTATCAGACTACTGGACTCTTGCTTGTGAAAAAATCCTGTTAGGATCAGCACCATCTGCCAACAGCTCCTCCCTTAGTTGACTACAGCAAGGTAAGCACTTGACTGCTGGAATTGATGGAAATGAACAGTAATGATTAGAAAATGAAAAAGTAGATCGGGAGGAGGTAACCCTTCCCCTGTTCCATGTTGTACAAAATTATTTGCTGAGACTGAGTTCCTGCCCGTGTGCTTGTCCTATTTACCAATGAACCTGGATGTCTGAGATAGCAGAACTACTCTTGACACCAAGTGAGATGGCAGCTCAAATCCCAGCATTGATGCTAAATCCTTCTTCCCTCTGCACATTAAGAGCCACCTTTCAGCTCAGCAGGACATCCAGCGATGGGTGTTCGGCTTTATGGAGAATTCTAGAATTCAGGCTTGCTGTACCTAACGTTAATTCGCAAGCAGTACCAACGAGCATCAAGCTTGCATCTCAATTCCCAGCTGCAGAGAACAAGGCTGCCAAACGCCAACTTGGAACATGGAGCTCCTTGGCAAACTGGTTTGCAGCTGAACGGACTGGACAAGCGTTGAGCATGACAAAGCAACACTGGACACAGCAGAGCAACACACAAAGAAATTGTGTGGAAGTGTAATAGGGGTGAGGATGCACAGGGAAGCAGGACCCAAAGGGCACTGCTCAGCCCCAGAGGTTTATCCATCCGCAAGTCCCACACTGAAGGCAGCAAAGTGGTTCTGAAGACTCACAGATGACATTGGGATTCAAACAAAACTAAAAAATCTAACAAATGAACTAATATTTAATAGACTCAGGAGTCTGCTGAGAAAATATGTGATGGAGGAGCTGTGCAAAACACTGGAGATAGATGTTTGATCATAACTTTATTAATATTTTTGCTATTACCTGGATACGGCCCATTCCCAGAAACAAGAGTAACTCGTTCTTTATCTGGAGTCCAACCTCAAACAAGAGAGCTTTAAACACGATCCCTTGCCTCTTGCATTGATACTCTAACCAACTGGCTACTGGCTATTTTATGAAGCTACGCAACCTTTCTGAACTCAGGTGGCTTTTTGTTCTACCTGCAATTGCATCAGAAAGAGCGCACACGGTTTTGCTTTTGGGGTGAGCACAGACATATTGATTCGAGTCTTTTGCACTATTCGAGACTTTGTCTTGGCCGGATCTTCAGCCAGTACGCTGGGAAGTCACGCCAGCCTCAGCACACTTCAGAAAACACCTTGAGGAGCCACTCTGAAAACATCACTGAGGTGAACGTTACCTGGTACACCTGTGAGAGGAAAAAAAAAAACAAACAACAAAACATGGGTCAGTCTCACGAGCACGCGACGATTAAATTAAAAAAAAAATAAAAACGAGGGGATGGAAGCAGCAGAACATCCTGAATTTTACTGAATATCCTCTGCGTAGCTCGCCCTTAGCCCTCGTTAACCCAAATTCCCCAGGGCAGCCGTTGAGCGCCCGGCCCCTCCTCTGAGGGGAGAGGAGGGGAGGGAGCCCTCCCTCCCCCCCCGTCACGTGACGGCCGCCGGGCGCCGCTCCACCTGTCACGGAGGCCCGCGGAGGGGCGGCGCGAGCCCCCCCCACCCCCCCTTTAGGCCCCGCCCCTCGCCGCCCGCGCGCGCTGCACGCCTCGCCACGCGCTCGTCCGTTGGCGGGGCGGCGGCTGACCAACGGCCGACACCCCCCCCACCCCCACACGCTCCAACCGTCGGTTAACGGCGGTAGGGAAGCCACGGGGGGCGGCTGCGGCCGGGCTGAGGCGCCCTTCCTCTCGCCGCTGCCGCCCGCAGGCAGCGCCGTGCCCGCTGCCCGCTCCGGGAAGCCATTATCGGCCGCCTGTGCCAAGGCGGCCACGCCCCGCCAACGGAGCCAAGCGGGAGGGCGGCGCGGCCCCCGCCCCTCAGGCGTTACGCGAGGGCCTGGCAGCGATAGGACGGCGGGGCTGAGGCCCGCTGCCCCGGCACGGAGCCCCCGTTACGCAACTCCGCCCGCCTCGCTCCCCAAAGCCTCCCCCCCACCCTCTCCGCTTCTCCCTCCGCTTTTAAAGGCGCCCTCGTTTGACTGACAGCTCGCCCGCCCTCTCACCAGCCGCCGATCCCCTCGGTCCCGCCCCCTCCCTCCTCCTCCAACCAATGAGGCGAGGGGAGGGCGGGCTGCGAAGCGGCCGTAGCGCGGCGGCGGCGGAGCGCTATGACTGACGTAAGTCAACAAAGGTCACGTGCGGCGCCGCGGAGGCGGCGATTGGCCGAGCGGGGCAGGGGCGGGGCGCGAGGGGGGGTGGAGGAGGCGCACGGCGCTCGGCGGCGGCCACAATTCGCGCAACTTCGCGCCGCGGCCGCACAACTCCGCCGGGGCTGCCCTGTGAGGGCTGGGTGGGAGGGAGGGAGGGGGGCGAAGCGGCGGCACGGTGCAGCCCCGCTCCCCTTCCCCGTTCCCCGCTGCCTGCGTCTGGCGTGGTGGCGGCGATGTAAACACGGCTGGGCCGCTGCCTCCGCCTCCTCCTGGCCTCCAGCGCTGGGGCTCCCTCCCCCTCTCCCTCCTCCCTCCCTCCCTCCCTCCCTCCTCCGAGCAGCGGGGCTTCCCCCCGCCTCCCTCCCTCTCCCCTCCCCTCCCTCCCTCCCTCCCCCTCCCTGCCGGCTGTTGTTGTTGTAATAAAAGTTGTGGTGCGTGTGCGTGTGTCGGGCACCCCGCCCCGCCCGGCGCTGGGGGGTGTCGGGGGGCTCGCGAGAGAGGAGGAGGAGGAGGAGGAGGAGGAGGAGGGGTGGTGGCGGAGGTGGTGGTGGCGGCGGTGGGGGGGGGGGGGGGAGAAGAGAGAGAGGAGAGAGAGAGAGAAGCGCCTGCGATCGGCGGTTTTAATTACGCTGCGTTTCCATGAAATCGTGCGGAGTGTCGCTCGCCGCCGCCGCCGCCGCCTCTGCTGCTCCTTTCGGTGATGAGGAAAAGAAAATGGCGGCGGGGAAAGCGAGCGGGCAGAGCGAGGAGGACTTCGCCAGCTTGACAGCCGACGAGAGGGAAGCCCTAGCCGGCCTCGACAGGTACCCGCTCCCCACGCCGCCCCGGCCGCCTCCGCGTCCCGGCTCGGACCGCGCTCCCCCCCCCACACCCCCACCCCGACCCTCTCCCCTCCGCACCCCGCTCCTCTCCTCTCTCCTCTCCTCGTCCCGTGCCCGTGTGTGCGCCCGGCCCCGAGGCCGCGCCGTGCCTTGGCGCTGGGCTGCGGGAGGGAGGGAGAGGAGAGGAGAGAGAGAGAGAGAGAGGGGGGGGGTGGGGGGCCCGCGTCTCCGTGTGTCGCTAACGCCTCGCTCCTCTCCTCTCTTCTCCTCTCCTCTCTCCCCTCCCGCAGCCGCCTCTTCGGCTTTCTGAGGCTTCATGAAGATGGCGCCAGAACGAAGGCCTTGCTGTTAAAGGTACGAGCGGGGATGGATGGATGGGGAGGGGAGACCGCCTTGGGGGGGGGGGGTGAACGGAGGGGGAGGGGAGGGAGGGAGCGGGCCGCTCCCCCGAGTGTGTGCGAGTGTGCGTGAGTGTGCACCGGGCCCGGGCGAGGCTGCGTGTGCGCGGGGCACCGCCACATCCGCAGCCCCCCCCCCCCCTCCACACACACCTCCCCTCAAGGCGGGGGGGGGGGGGGTGGGAGCCGCGTCCCGGCGGGGCTCGTCCTGCCCCGGGCCGGGCCGGAGAGAGCCGGGGGGGGGGGCGCGGGGGCGGCTGGGGAGAGAGGGGAGAGAAGGGAGAGGGGAAGGGGGGGGGGGGAGGCGGTGAGGGAGAGGGGGGGGGAGGAGGAGGAGGAGGAGGCGGCGGGGGGAGGGCGCGCGCGAGGCGCTGCTGACGTTGGCCTCTCCCCGGAGCCTCCCTCGTGATTTTGGCCCCGCGCGGCGGGGGCCGTTGGCGGCGCGCGCGCTGCCCGCCGGCCGTTGGGCTTTAAAGCACTGAGGGGTTGGGGCGGGGGGGGGAAGAGAGAGAATAAAAAAAAATAATAAAATAAAATAAAAAAGCGGTGAGGAGGGGACACCGCGAGCTGCGGGGCGGCCACGGGGACGGTCCCAGCCGCTGCCGGGCGAGGGGAGCGGAGCGGTGCGGGCTGCTCCCGGGGAGCTGCGTCCCCTGCCTCACACACACACACACAACCCTCAGCCCTCCTCCTCCTCCTCCTCCTTCCCTCCCCGCTGTCCCGGCTCGTCAGGGCTGCGCGAAAAGTTGCGGGCCCTGTCATTGAGTTAAGTAATGGCTGCTCCCGTCGGCCCAAGATGGCCGGACAGGGAGGAGAAAGGGAAGGGGGGGGGGAGGTAAACACGAAACAAACAGCGGGGACCGAGGCGCCTCGCCCCGAGCACGGAGCACCCACCCCACCTCCCCTCCTCCTCCTCCCCTCCTCACACCCCCGGTGAGCACCGAGGGAAGCTCCCGGCTGCGCCCCGCGACTTGGCTCCGGCCCCCCCCCGGCTGCTCCCCGGCTCCGCGGAGCTGCCGTCGGCCCTTATCAACCTGTAGCACGTTGGAGCTGCCGGGCCGCCAGCCGCCGACAAAGGCTGTGTGGGGCCGAGGAGCGGCGAGTTGGATCTGGGAAAACACCCGCGCAGCAGGAAAAAAAAAAAATAATAAAAATTGGGCTCTGAAAGCACCGCACGGCCGAAGCAGGGGGCTCTGTTCCTCTGGGTCCCGCTTTCCGACTTGTTCCTGTCAGGAGCTCCGCGTTTGACACTTTGTTCAGCCTATTGTGTTGTGTTGTGCGCTGATATTTTCACGTGGAGATATTTTTTCTTCCCCCTTCTCCCCCCCGTATTTTTTTTATTCATTTTTGCTTGGTTGATCTGGAGCCCCAGCTCCATACTGCGTCGGATTCGGTGGCTTAGGCCCTCCGTCGTGCTTGGATGTTTATTTCTGGCGTAATTCGAAAAGCTCAATGTCAGGACGTGGGGGGAGGGACAGGGTGAAAAGCAAGTACACTTTTCTTTGTGCTTATATATTAAAAAACAACAACACAACGAAACAAACCTCGCTGTTTCGGTTTGATTTTTGGAGTTAGCTACTAAAGTATTTTTCCAGATAAAAAGGTAGGGGAGTGACACGTCAGACCAGTTAAATAACGTCCATTAACTGTTAGTGGGCTAGAACTCAGGTCTGCAGAGTGAGTGCTGCTGAGGCTATCGGGAGTGTTACAGAGAATCGTATGGGATAGAGCTTAAGGAGGCCAGCTGGAAAATAAAAGCACCGTATTAATTAGGTTCTGTCACATAACATCACTAGGTTAGGTTTTATTTTGCATACTGCAAATTTAAGGAAAGTGGGCAGCAGTTCAGCACGTTGGATTTTGAGTTATTTCTTGCATATGATGCCTTTATCTTTTTTTTTATGTCAGTCAATTAAAGTTTTAGTATTTACAGTCTGTGTCAGGTCAATGAAGTTGTGCAGCTTTTTTGGTATTTTTGAAGTATGTTTCTGGGAATGCTGTTGAATCTTCTCTTACTGCGTCAGTGTATGACTCCATGGAGCAAATACTATTTATTTTTCTAGATTTTGATATTCCACCTTGGTTTTCTGACAGTGTTTTGGATGTTTATGAATTGCATGCTGACTTAGGAAGCGTGTTCTTTGTAAAAGTTGTCATTGAGAAGAGTAGATTGTTGAGGAAGTTGATTAAAATGTTACTGTTAAATGCAAAGATGTTTCAGAGGAATTTCATGGCTTGAACCAGATGCAGTTTTGTTCATGCCTTTTCCGTTCTTGGAACACAAGTGCTTCAATTACTGTTATCAATAAGTAAAAAGTTGTTATTTTTGAGATGCTTGTTATCCAAACAATTCATTTATCTTTTTTTTTTTTGTGTGTGTGTGTGAAGCTTTATAGGTTCTGTAAAATCTACACCGCAAGGGAGGGTTTGCAGTAATTATTCTAGCAGACCATTTAAATCTCACTTAATGGTCATTTTTATCGCAGAAAGTGTGGACGTACATGTGTGCATTTAATGACTGGGTTTTGCAGGGATAGCAATGAAATCTTTCCTTTTGTGCATGGAGCAACAACAGCTAACAAAGACCCTGGGCTCCATAATTATGAAATCCTAACTGAGCGATTTAGGAATCTGCAAGGCAGTGCATTGTAAAGTAACGTGAGGTTTCTGTGGAAGGCTAGCAGGTAAGGAAAGCCATGGAGCCATGTTTCTGGAGGAGTCCTCCACAAAGGCAAAAGAGTGTCGGGGCTTCCCATAAGGCGGGAGCAGCACATCTGCTGTGGAACCCTCTGGAAAGGGAGGGGGGGAGGCTGTTGTGATGCCCGGCCACTTTCCCTGTGGTCAGGGTGGTGGGAGCAGTGCGTGTGTCCCTAGGGACTGGCAGGGGGAGGCGGAAACCTGGGTCCCCAGTGTCTGGGGAACCTCTCCTTTCTCTGCCCCAGCCTGTGTGCAAGCAGCAGGGCTTTGGCATGCACTTGGGTTTGGTGTCTCAACACCACAAGGTGCTGCCCCAGTTTTTAGGGGGGTTCACTCTGCAGGAGGCGATCTGTTGGCTTAAGCTCTTCCAGGCCAAGCAGGAGATCGCGTGGAGCCTGAGCCGGGGGACCTCTGGCTTGGTGAAGCCACACCCTGGCAGGGTTGAACAGTAAGAAATCCGGGATCTCTTCCAGGGATGGAGGAAGCTTCGTGTCCGGAGCTTTAACGTAGCTGTGGGTTTTGTTCATACTGCAGATGTGGACCAGAGTCCCTGTTTTTGGTAGTTTCACTTTGCAGGATATCTGATCATAGTGGAATGAACTAAACTGTGTTCTGCTGCTGGGTGTAACGAATGAAAAGAGCAGATATGACATCAGATCTATACAATATTTATGGGGAGTATTGAAGATACTGAGTAAAGGTCAGCGGTACTGTGTTGTTGCTCCGTGTATTGGACGTGGGATAAGCCGGTAAAAAAAAATAAATCAAACTTTTATGTAATTGTGTACGCACTGCTAGTATTTGTGACAAAGAAATAGAATTTGCTGTTGTCAAAAACTGTTTGTTTTGCAGAAAAAGAGCTTTAAAATAATAGTTTGCAGCTACTGTGGTTTTGGGGTAGAAAAGAGGGGAAATTGAAAGAGACATCTCCTTTCAAGGCAGTTGAAATGCTGAAAATCCAATGTAGCTGGTCTCGTTTAGGCGAAAGTGCACGCAGTTGCACTTCTATAGTTGACAAGATGTGAAGGAGCAAAAAACCCTGCTGGTGTCCTGATGTCTCTTTCTCCCAGAAAGATGTTTGTTCTCACGGGAGGTGGACCTGAAAATTACTTGGGGGGAGCACATGCTGTTTTGGAAGTGAACTGCAGTTTCCTTTTCCTCTTTATTCCTTTGATTATTATGTTTTTTTTTTTTTTTTTTTAATTCTATTGTTTTGCCAAAGTGGACTCTTTTTTCAGTAACAAATCTTTGTTTCATAAGCTATAATTATTTGGCTCCTATACAGATTTAGGTTGATGTAGTTGGTCTAATTTATTGGATTTAAGATGTTTGGTAATTCCTATTCATTGAGCTTAATCAGTTTGTCATATCCTGTGGACAAAATTTGAAGCATGTTTCCATTTAACAGTATTGATGTCGAAGTCGATACAAAGAGAGATGAAGTAGTTTCTTGTAATATACCAGTTCTAGGTCTCTGTTACCTTTTGGGGTTTTGTGGACCTTTTGTTTTGCAGCTGATTTTTAAAAATCATGTTTTCTTTGTGCAGAGGCCACGCATGTTGACAAAAGTAACAAAGCAATCATCTGTGCTTTTATTTAGCATACAAAATAAGCACACAGAAACAATATTCTTTCACCTTCGTTATAATTGTAGGTGTTACTTGTTTAAAAATAGTTCTGGACAGTGTGAATTAGTATATAGTGACTTCGTCCCTTCGGTGTTGACATTAATGTTAATTTTCTACAAATCTATAATTAAATATCCTCAGTTTTAATTGTAACAGGCTGCTTGAAAAATAATTATGCAGGAAAACATTTTAACGGATTAGTCTAGGTGTGGTAAAGTCGTTTTTTTTTTAATTCAATAACTTTGGAAACATTTTGACTTAATTTATTTTCATCAAAACCAAGAAAAATTGCTTTAAAAGTAATTATAGTGTTAGCCTCACATAATGGCAGTGCTGGGAATTGAGAAACTGGGAATTGGTACCATGAGATATTTGTAAGCCATTCCAGGAAATGGGAAGCCTTTCCAGGTTCTGTAAATTTCTGTCTCAGCTGGTCCTGTGTTTTATTTTAATTTATTATTTTTTTAAAATGTATTCTGCATTTCTTATTTGCTTATCAAGCATACTGGCTGTTAATGTGGAACAAGTTGGAGTTGGTTAACGTTTTGCAAATCGTGTTAGGGGTGGAACTGGTTTCGTAGCCCCTCCTGAGGGTGCCTGGAAGTTGAAGGATTTGAAGTAGAATTTGTGT